CTAAAAGGCATAGCATGGATTGACTTAAAGGGTACAAGGCAAGGTGTGCTAAGGTTCCTTAGCCCACTCCTCCAGTAAAATCACCTTCTGCTTGTTGTTGTTTTGGTTTTGTTTGGGTTTTTTTAGATCCTCCCACTGGTAGTTGCTACACAGCTCTTCTCACATTCTCCAAAGTATTTTAAGGGTCTTTTCTCTAAAAGATTTTTGCCTCCACAATATTTACATCGTGGATACCATTTTTTCTGTGACACAGTCCCTACAACTGAAATTGTTTTAAGAGCTGTTCAATTCATGTTTAAAGTATAAAACAAAGCAACTCATTAGCTTATAGTTTGGAGATGTAAATGAATGGGAACTTTCTCTAAACAAAATAATGGTTTTTGCTCTTTTTCAATTCATGATTCTAAAGACCTATGATTCTGAGCAAAGCTTTCATAAAAGCAGTTCCTAACAAAAGCTCCTACTGAGTTCTGTGTAATTATTTTAAAATTAGTGGCTGCCATACGACAGCTATAACTATCAGTGATGCTTGTTCAAATGCAGTCACACTGTGTTTTGTTACAGTACTAAATAATCAAATTGAAATTTATTTCATTGGAAAGCTTTTTGAGGATAGCTGGCAAACTAAACTCTTTTCATTCTAACAAAAAGACAGCTACCTTTGATCTTTGACAGCTAACTTCAGCTTGAAAACCTTGTTCCATATTAATATGTGACAAGAAATTCTACAGTTCTAAATGTGTTTGGAATATGAGAAGAGTCTTGTTAGAATGTATGTTTTGCAGTTGCAGCTCACAGCTTCCTCAGTGTAAGTTTTAAAAACAATTTTGTGATGTAGGAGCATTACTTTGATGCTTAGGTACGGTACAAATGTTTCTAAAAAAGATGTAAAACTGATGTATTTGTACGAATGTTCTCATGACACTTGTCCTGATCTGACCTTCCCCTTCCTAGCGATTGTCTGTGTTGTTTCTGACATCTGAGGTTCAGTGGGAGCATTCAAGCCTGCTTATTTAAAATTTGTGGTTTATATTTGGCAGGTTCAGGAAGGCTGACCTCTAGTAACTCTGTCCTCCAGCTGTTTGCCTTGTGGTTGTTTTCTGACTTTAATTGGGCTTTTTTCCTGCTCCATACAATAGACTTTTGCATGTAATTGATGCTGATCAGGTCTCTGCCCCCTGCTACCATTTACCTCTTGAGTGATTCATTACTAGTTAGATTGAAGTGATGAAGCTGCTTCTGCTTCTTCATATGTCAGGAACCTTGAGCTGTAATGTACCTGGTTAGCACCTACAGCTGGGGCAAGAAGTTTTCCTCTCCCAGCCCATAAAAAGTGCTTTTAATATATTTTTGCCAGGTCAAAGCTGCAGTGTATTGGCAGGAGCATATGAAGAGGCAGCTCTGCCAATGCTGTGCTGTACACATTCTGATTTAGCAATCCAGCCATTGCAATCCAGCACCTTTCACTTACAGTTAAATTCATACACCAGAGTAAATGTCCCTGCAGAATGTGCATTGTAAATTTGTGCTGCATTGGAAAGTTCAGACTGTATAATAATCCATATTATTGCATCTTTACCTTTTTTTTTTGTTCAAGTTTATAGAAATTCAGTTTCCATAGAACTTTAGCCCTCACTTCATGGTAGAAGCTCTTGTAGGAGTTTCAATCTGCTTTTGATTAGCCAGGTAGGTGAAATAACAGGGTGCTAAGAAGTGCTAAAGCACTGAGGTTATCGGGTCACTTCTGTAATTAGGACAGAATATACTGATACCCTTTTTCAGCACATTGCATTATTGCCAAGGCTCTGTTTAGAGGAGAACAGGTCAATTTTTGTGAAAGTACTTCCTACTCCTGTATCTTTTTTCCCTGTGATTTGATTTCTTCTGGCAATTAGAAAGGTTTAAAACCTTAAAAGGCATTGAAACACGATTTTTAAAGGCCTGCTTAACTTCTGTGAAGGTCCAATTACTTTTAAAAATTCTTTTTTTTTTCCATAGAATCATAGACTGATTTGGGTTAGAAGGGATATTGAAATATCATCTTCCCTGCTGCCCCCTTGGGCAGAGACATCTTTCACTAGGTCAGGTTGCTCAAAGCCACTTCCAACCTGACCTTGAACACTTCCAATGATGGGGCATCTGATTCCACTGTCATTTTCATTTGCATTTAAACCCTGTACAGTTTACTCTGTTTAAAAAGGCAAAATTATGGTTTTCACTGAGTTTCATCTAGGCTAGGTCATTAAATTTGTGGTGGATATGGTTATTTGGTCGTTCCTGTGAAGACCCCATTGAAAACTGAACTAATTCCTTGTCAATAAATGAAAGTAATGACTGAATGGAGCACAATGCATATAAGATATGTTAGTTTTTAAAGAGAAATGGCTGCAACTACAAATTGTTTGCTAAAATCAGCTATCTAAGAAAGCTGCTTTTTTGAGTACTGTGTGTTGCCATTTTTGCTGAATATAAAACTCTTGAAAGTGACCAACAGCCAGCACTAACTAGAACCAAGCCTAGTATGAGGATATACTCAGCAGGGAGCCAACATACTGCAGGCTCTTCGGTGACCATTCTGTACTAAAATCTTGATCATAAAATATGACTGCATTGTAGAAATAATCAGAATCTAGTAGTTTTACAGGTAATTTTATGACTTGAGTAAATATAAGAACAGCTTTACTGATTCAGATCAAGGGCCCATCTAGCCCATGTTGTAAGCAGACACTTAAGGAAGAGGAAAAACTGTGAGTGTGCATTTGTGCATGTGTGGTAATTACCCTCTGATGCTCTCCCAGCCTCCAGCTATTTTCAGCTCAAGGGATTTCCTGAGACTTGTCATTGGTGGTTCATTTCCTGTAGCTGGTCAAGGGATTTCCTGAGACTTGTCATTGCTCGTTTCATTTCCTGTAGCTGATTTTTCTTCCACAATTTCTCCATCCTTCCCTTTCATCCTTATACATTTCTTACATTGACAGAATCCTTTGGAAAGGTTTTAGTTTGTGTTTGGTTTTTGGTTTTGGATTGCTTTTGTCTTTGTTTTGGGTTTTTTACAAGTCTTGCTGTCTGAATAACCACCATCATTTGCTAGTTTTGAACTCATTTCCACCAGGAACCAGAAAGTGATTCAGTGGTTGCACACACTTGTTAGTAATTCAGTCTTTCATCCTTGGCTTCACACAAAACTCTAAAGTGAATACCATCTGGTATTTGTTTCTGTTGATTCTGTCTAGCTGTATTCTCACCTGTCCATAGTTGTTTCAGGAGGTAACTGATAATAAGGTAATACAATAGCAGATTTCCCTCCCTTTTTTTTTGTGGGCATGAGTCTTGAGTGCTTGATAATATAGTAGTTTCTTTTTTAACTTTTTCATTGTTTAGATTGTCATTTGGAGGAATCATTTAATTATTTTGCACACAATGATGAAATAGTGTTATAAAAATACTAGAAGACTATAGCAAGATCATTGTTTCTGGTACTTAAAAATCACTGGATCGTTGCATGCTGTAAAATAAATGCAAGGAATGTGAAACGTGAGAGTATCTTGGAAAGTTCAAGCAAGTCAAATTCTGCTTGCAGATTAAAATGAAGCTGGAAATTGAAGATGCACTAATTAAGTGCAAGTTACATATCCTTTAATTAATTTTACCCACAGTACAAGTACCCATCTCATGTTTGCCTTCCAAGCTGTACACCTATAAATATGCTAAACTATCATATTTGATTTCCTTTCACCAGTGCTGAGTGAAAATCTGTTTTATTAAAATAGGATATTCCCATTACGCTAAGCTCACTTATCACTCGATGAAGGCATATATTCTCAATTTCTCTTTCTACCAAATCCAGAAATTAGAATTTTAGAAGAGGCTTCTGATTATGATGCTGTTCATTTTTCATTATTCAGTGTTTCAAAAGGAAAGGCCAATTGCTTTCAAATAGTTCTGTTAATGTTTTCCAGAGCTAGATTAGTTTACACTTTTTAGAAATAAATTTAGCATCTTGAAACAAAAGAGAGCAGGGGGTTCCCTACTATGCCACTCCACTCACCACCACCACTGCTTTTCCTCTTGTCCCATCCCCCTTGCAACTGCCAACCACTCTTTCTTCCTAAGCCAAAGAGAAACTTTGCAGTTTGTGTCAATTGAAATGGCAATAAAATGACCACTGATCTCATCCATAAGATCTTTTCATGGTCTGACAGAATATTTAGCTTGTATCTACATGAAAGTGCAAATAATTTCAGTTTAAATAAGTTAACAGTATTTAATAACCTGTACATACCATGTAGCCCTTAGAAAGTGTCTGTATTTATAGTTTGAATGTGCTGATGAAAATTTTAATTTCTCAGAAGCCTTTCCAACAAGTGAAAAATAAGTTAAGCTAACTATTTTCTAATAAACGTTGGAACACTCCATTAAGGTAAAATATTTGAGATCTTTTAGATTAGAAAGACAAATCTGAATGCTCACAATCTGTGAACACTGCCCATTTAATGAAATAACACCAACCTCTGGTTTTTTTCCTCTTTCAAAGTAATACACTTTCGTTCGTGGCTAAGTGGAGAAAAGGGTGTAATCAGTTCTTCAAGGAGACTTTAAACAGATAAATGTAATGGTTACAAGTGGAATAAAGTGCATTAATATTGTCTTAGATTAAAAGAAGAGTTAAATCAAGTGGAGCTAGAAACCAGCTTCAGTATAGCTAAAGATGCCACTGTTAAGACCAGACAGACCTAAGAGATTAATAAAAATCCCTAGAATTGGTTGAGTATGGCAGATAATATTAGGGTTTTGAGAGGGATGAAGATTTGTTGGTTTTCTTGGTTTATGAAAACAATTACTATTTAAAATCCAACATACTGATAAATTGTGGGTGTGATACTGTCCCTTGTTTGGATGGGTAAGATGAACATCTACTTAAGTACTAAAAGCAAGCAAATTTGACTGACTTTTGTACACTTTGTGTTTTATTTATCTTTATTTATTTTTTTTTTTACTAGGGGAAATGAGGAATGATTTATATATCACTGTAGAAAGAGGAGAATTTGAGAAAGGAGGGAAAAGTGTGGCCAGGAATGTGGAAGTGACAATGCATGTGGTGGACAGCAATGGTCAAATTTTAAAGGTATCTTTGTATGTTTCTCCTTGCTGTAGTTACTGTTGATACACTTTTTCAGATGTAAATAATATTTTGTGGCATTATTGAAGAGTAAGAATTGCTTTAGAAATGGCATGTTTATCTTTTCTGTCTTTAGATATTCAAAGTATTTCCACTTTGCCTAAAACCTTTATAAAATGTATTTGCAAACCTTTATAAATTTTTATTTTATTTCTATGATTAATTATGTGATTGGGATAAACATCAATAATTGCAACCAACTAACTAGTGAGTCTATTAAGATGCTGGAAAATATTGAAGCAGGATCAAGTTTTGGAGAATTTTTTGTTTTGTAATAGTTCTTAGTAGGTATGCATTTCCTTATCTTGCACAGAACAGTGTGTTTTGAGAATTTTCAGTTTTGTCTGATTTTGGTAAGTCAGAGATCCTTGATGCCAATATCACCACCATGTATCAATAAAAAGAATAAATTAGTGTTCCTTTTCATCTTCAAATGTGATTGCATGCTGCTGGTGATGGCTTACAAACAGGCACTTGTTTATATTTTAATCATTAATAGGTGACTGTTTCTCAGATTTATTTTTTCTGTACCAGAAGGATTTCTCTTGATTCAAACTTTTCCACACATATTCCACACACCTTTTTGTTTCCTTTTGTGTTATTTGAAAGTACTTTTTTTTTATATGTTCTGTATGGTTTCAGCAGCTGTGAAGTGAGAAAATGAAGCAAGTCTGCACAAATAGCCTGGTTCAAATTGCATGTGTATATCTGAAGTGTGATTGTGTGCATAAGTGCATGGCATGTAATATAAATATGTTTTTATACATATATATGCAAGCATACCTAAGTGTGTCTGTGTATATGTATTTTTTTATATATATAAACACATTAAACAAAAAGGGATATGAGATTGTAATTGCAGAGGAGAAAAGCTGCAGTTCACCTTTCCCAGAAAATTAATAGGTATGCCCAAGTCAGGACTTGGAGAAATCCATTTTTCTGCCTTGCTATGGAGAGACCATCATGGGTAGTGCAAAGGCAACTAACACTTTGCTTCTTCCCAGATAGGGAAACAAGATTTCTTTTAATTTTTAATTGATATTGATAACAACAGTGTTACAGGCTTATTTCAGAGGTCTGGAGATCTTGAGCCTGGGCTGCTGTGGTCTCAGTTACCTTCTTGTTTGTTGCTTGGGCATAACACTGGCTAGGCCATGTTGTGTCATGGGACTCCACAAGACTTTTGTTGCTGAAGCCTCCATGTTCACCCAGTTCCCCCTATTTAACACTTTGATTCTCATTGGGGTGAGTGATTCTTGCCACTTGTAATTTTCCAGTCGGCAAATATTAGCAAAGTACAACATTTGGCATTTATGATAAAAATGTAAATATCAAATAGTCTTCTAAGGAAGTGCAGTCCTTGGTGACATTTAATCTTATTTTTTCTTCATTAGGATTTTATCTCGTTTGGCTCTGGAGAGCCACCAGCCAGTGAGTACCATTCCTTTGTGCTTTATCATAACAACGGTCCCAGATGGGCTGAGCTGCTGAAACTTCCTATTCCTGTGGATAAATTTAGAGGAGCTCACATCCGCTGCGAATTCCGGCACTGCTCCAGTAAGTGTGTTCATGACTTATGCTAGACCTCTCTGTTACAGCTGTATTCAGCACACACCTTAGGAAAAAGACATCTGCATGAACTTTCTCTGTAATGCCTTTGTTTGCTTATAAAATTCCAAAATTTTCTAAACATTGAAATATTTTAGAGATGATTTTGAGGTAAAAATTGATGACTGGGTCCACATTCTGCATACCAAGGTGAGTGAGATAGATTTCATAGAGATGGATAAACTTCTGTGTTGCTAAGACTGCATATTTGGTGGTTTACATTATTTGTTGTTAATAAATACCAAATCATTCCAGAATACTGCTTTCTGATTTACGGTGAGATAAAAGAAATGATTACAGGAGACAAGGTGCAAATCTGAACAGAAATTCAGGATAATCTTAGTCTGACTAGCTGCAAATACCTTCAAGCATACTTTCTTATGTTGTAGCATATACATTTATTTTGTTAAAAATGTGTAATATTATCTTTAAGTGCTGCTATTTATATGTGCATTTCAGCTAAAGAAAAGGGTGAGAAGAAGTTGTTTGGCTTTTCTTTTGTGCCCCTGATGCAGGAAAATGGGAGGACTCTGCCAGATGGCACCCATGAACTCATTGTATACAAGGTAATTCGAGTTAGTGGTCATTAGATGTAATGATTCCTCTGGAACACACTTTAAATGCCTACAGACATTAATTTGACAAAGCCTGTATTGATTATCAAATAAGTGATAATCTTGTCACCATTAAAATGCCTATTACTGATTGTTTAATATCAACCTGCCTGATACAATCTACAATTGAATCTAGGAATGTGTTTCAGTGCACTGGTTTTCCTATGCCTTACTATTGTGTCACAATGTGTTTATATTGTATTTCACAAATGTAAGTTCAATTAAAACACACAAATTGGACCACATTATATCCCATTACTGAATTACTCAAGGTGGAAGATCAGACAAGCTCATTTATGCAGATCTACTCAATCTTATAAGTTTTACAGATATTTCAGATTTGTGGGATTCTTGTTTCCACATTTGACAGTTGTGTCTTTGTTCAGATTTTGACATGAAAATTTGTAGCTATTTGTTTGATTTGTTAGAATTCAACATGCAGCCAAAGCTGCAATGATGATCCAAAGCCAAAGCTGCAACAGACACAGTGAAAAACTTCTTCAATAATGGTTCATATAATTTAGGGTCAGTTTGGTCAATTATTCTGTGCTGTGCAGTTATTTGTATGGGTTTGTTTTCACAGTGTGAAGAAAACACAAACCTTCAGGATTCTGGTCGCTACCTCAAACTCCCCTTTTCAAAGGGAATATCTCTAGGAAACAACAGCCAAGCAGTTAAAACCACTAAGGAGTCCTTCTGGATTACATCCTTTCTCTGCTCCACTAAACTCACACAAAATGGTAGGGTATGTTGATTATTTGAAACATGATGAATTCAAATGAGTGTGATAACTAGTCTTCTTCATGCCAAGCAAGCATGAATGTACTCAAAAATACCTTAGGTTCTATCCATTTTATAAACTGGTTTTCTCCATAATTTTTTATATCCAGATGGAAACAAATGCAGCATGATAAACCACTCTTTTTAAGTAGTTCAAGAATGTTTTTTAGATTAACATAATATTGGAATCAAATGCAGACGTTCTGGAATCAGCTGTTGAAATCCAGCTGCTTTACAAAACCCCTTAATCTGTTTATTGTAGAGTTTTTATGAAATACTTGTCAGCTTCAGACTGTAGCAGTTTGTTTCTAATTAGGCATATATTGTTTTTTTTGTTGTTCCTTTAAGCCAACAAACATTTATTAATACTTAAAACTGTCTTATAGACTGGATATAAGAAGCAGCAAATAGAAATACATGTGTTTACACTCTTTACCAGTGCTCTGTGTAAAATTCTTACGGTTCTGGTTTATTTGTCATATTAATTACAGTTTGTAACTGAAACAAATAACTTTGTTGAGCAGTTTTCCATAAATTTCTAAATGTTTTGTATTTGCTTGGTAATGTGTTTCTGACTGTTCTTTGATCTACCCACAATTTTATTTTTTTTCTATGCTGTTTATCACAGTTTTAAGACCTTGCTTAGCTTTCTCTTGTGAGTGAATATCTATGACTTTAACCATCTCCTGTGTATGACGATAAAATTGCTAATTGTTTGCAAATTGTTTATTATAGGTGTTTAACAAAAACTAGAGCAGCTTTTTAAATTGAAATATTCATCTCAGTTTTCAGCATTCAGTAGCAAGTGTCTAGACTAGAACTATGTGCAAACAGCAAGTGGTTTGTTTCCCTGTGCACATCCACTTTGTATTGTCATAGCAATTGCCTTCAAAATAATAAAAGTTACCCAATAAAATGTTTTCCCAGAGGTTGCTAACAGGCAATCAGAGACTAAATTTGCTTTGGCTAAAGGCTTTGATGTAGGGAATCACATGAATCTACTCATACTTACACATGCATGAAAGTGCTGACTGGAACTTAAGTCTCTCACTGATAAATAGTTGCCTTATTGTCTGGGATTATAATACTAATTTTTTTTTCACAGTACAGGAGTTATTTTGTACTTAATGTAAAGAGATGTGTGACATAGGGCATAAAATTTCCTCTTTTTTTTTTTTAAACCATATTCTGAGTAAGAGGGTGCAGAATATCTGAATAATACTGATCCCCTTTTCAGCTCTGAAAGAGTTAACAATTATTTCAGCAGTACTTCAGAGGGTGGAAATATTTTCAATAGACAGGCTCATATTTTCTCCAAGGATCTTCTTTGGAAAGTTCATCTTGGTGAGTTTCCAAATCCCCATTCTTTTAAACAAAAATTTGCCAAAACCTATTGCATGCTCAGAAAATGAACATAGAGCAAAGCATGTGGATATTGGTCATGTGAGCATTACTTCAGTTATCCCTGAGAGAATGTAACATACGTATTAAAACCACAGATTTAAAAAGATCTGTGTATTTACTTTTTTTATTAAACGTTTGTATTGGTATTTTTGAAAATTGCTGGTTATTTTTTATGTTCAGAGATTTATCAGAATTTCTCAGAGATTTGCCTTTGTCTATAAACAACAATGTCCAGCCTGAAAATGAAATTAAAATTATGCTATTGTCTGGCCATGGGGCAGGGGAGGACCCCAAACCCAGAGTTGTAAAGGGTGTGACTGAATTAGGCCACAGCTTTACTAGCTCGCTGGGGAATTTTACTCAGCTGTCATTCTCTCATTGATTATTCCCACATGCCATCAGCTCTCATGCATATTAAAATTATGGGGCCTGGGGGAAGGAGGCTGACTCCTAGTTGTTGGGATCCATAACTGCCTTACCCTGGGTGCTTTGGAAGGGTTATTGGGACTATTTCCAAACAATTTTTAGAGACCTTCTAACCAGGGTAGTCTGTGCGTTCATCAGCGTACGATGTAAGAACGCGTCCTTATCTGATCTGTCTGCCAGTTAGTTTTTCCTTCGCTTTTCCTTTTTGATCCTGGGTATTAATCAGTTAATGTTACCAAGAAAGTATGCCAGTTTTTATATAGTACAGTCTTAGCTGTGTAGTTATATAACATTATCCTAAAAAAACCCAAAAGAATGAGAAAGAACATAGTATTTTTCTACTGAGTAGTCATCAAAACAGTCTTACTTAGTTTTTGACATATAGGAGGGATCTCTGCCTGCAAGAGACTCAGGATCCTTCCAGCAAGTCAGAATATTTTAGCAAGTTGGCATCCACTCATTTCTCAGCACTG